GCTTGACTGCACCTCAAGCCGCGTATGTCATTGAGGAGATCCACCGAGGCATCTGTGGCATGCATTCCGGAGCACGCTCAATGGCGGCCAGAGTGCTCTGAGCTGGTTACTACTGGTCTACCTTGAAGTCGGATTGCCAGGCCTACGTACAGAAATGCTAAGAGTGCCAACAGTTCGGCAACACACATCGGCAGCCACCCGAAGCTCTCCACCAGATGATGTCTCTGTGGCCTTTCGCCTAGTGGGGAATGGACATCTTGGGACCGTTTCCCCCCGCGAAAGTTCATCTCAAATTTCTCCTGGTGGCCATTGATTATTTCACCAAGTTGATCGAAGCATGCCCACTCGCCAAGATCACCACCGACAATGTCCAAAAATTCACTTGGAAAAACATCATATGCAGATTCGGCATCCCTCATTCCCTCATCACCGATAACGACAGACAGTTCATCGCACAAAGCTTTGAGGACTTCCTCCGAGAGCTTGGTATCAAACACCTTCCAACCTCGGTGGAACACCCCTAGACTAATGGTCAGGCTGAAGCCGCCAACAAGGTCATCCTCCAAGAACTTAAGAAGTGGCTAGGGAACGCTAAAGGACAATGGGCCGACGAACTCCCTAGCATCCTTTGGGCATACCATTGCACCCCCCAATCAACAACGCAAGAAACACCTTACAAGCTGACTTACGAAGCTGACGCAATGATCCTAGTGGAAATCAGAGAAATGTCTCATCGGCGCCAGGTCTTCAACAGCGAGCAGAACGCTCAAGAGTTAGCGGCTGACCTTGACTTGATTGACGATCTCAGAGACGAAGCTCGGATCTATGAAGAAGCTTGCAAAATCCGAGCTTCCAGAAGGTATAACACGAGAGTGCGACCTCGCTCTTTCCGAGTTGGTGACTTAGTGTGGCGTCTATTGGGCGATGCACGAAAAGACCCGTCAGAAGGAAAGCTCGCACCCAACTGGGGTGGCCCTTTCCGAGTTCCGGAAGACTTAGAAAATGGGGCTTACAGGCTGGAAGAACTCAGCGGCAAAGCTATCCCACGAACTTGGAATGCCACGCATCTCAAGTTTTATTTCAGCTAAATTTGTACGAATGAGCTGTGCACTCTTTTCCCGCCTCAGTCTTTTATCCCAAAAAATAGAAAAATGGGTTTTGATTGAGAGGGTTTTTAACGAGGCACATATACACAATTAATAAAATAACTCATTCTTTTCATTCAAATTCTCCTAGCTTTACATTATTTTACCATCAAATGTCTTATGGTAAGCCAAGGTCGAGTTCGAACCTTGACACAACATAGTTTACTTTACGCCGAGGTCGAATTTGAACCTTGGTCCGACTTATCTCCCTATAAATCAAGGTCGAGTACGAACCCTGAATACGTTTCGCTTAAATCCAAGGTCGAGTCCGAACCTTGATATTATTCATATCACACTCAAGGTTGAGTTCGAACCTCGGTATGCTCAACTCAAGGTCGAGTTCGAACCTCGATGTGATCCAATCAAGGTCGAGTTCGAACCTTCATACGGTTCATTCTACTCTAATCTGAGGTCGAGCTCGAACCTCGGTATGATCCACTCAAGGTCAAGTTCGAACCTTGGTATAATCAACTCGAGGTCGAGTTTGAACCTTGGTATAATCAACTCGAGGTCGAGCTCGAACCTCAGTATGATCCATTCGAGGTCAAGTTTGAACCTCACCGCGACACATCTCAATTTTGCCCAAGGCCAGATTTGAACCTTGGAACAAATCACTTGGCTCTAAATCGGGTCTAGGCGCCACAAAGTACGAAAATACACAACAAATGCTGAACGTGTTTTCCAAATCGCGCAAACAGGAAAAATCAAGCCTAAAGTGCAAAGACAAACAACCAACAAATATATACACAGCAATGTTTATAGAGTTCAACACATGAATTCAAACAGAAGAATCAAGTAGAGAAAAATAAACTAAGCCATTACAAAAGCGGCCTAGGCAGAGGCGTTTTCACTTGAGCTGTCCTCGAGGTCGTCCTCCCTCACCAGCTTTCCAAAGAGAACCTCCTTCTCCACATGCATGGCGGAGAAGTCGAACCTCGGTGCAAGAAGCCTCGCCTGGCGAGCTGCCTTGAGGAATCCCCTCTTGTGCTCAAACACGACAGCCCACTCAGTTTCCTCGAGCTTCCTCTCTAGCCCCGCCTTCGCCTCCTCAAGCTTTGCGAGGTCCACCTTCAAAGCAGCATTCTCCTCTGCTTGGCCGCCGAGAAGCACCTCGTCACAAAGACGTTTCTCTACCGCCGCCACCAACTCGGCCTTCTGATGGAAGTGACTTGGAGAAGATTGATGTTCTTCAAGTACTCCATGCAAAGATCGTGAATAATCTTGAGGTAAATCTTCAAATCAACACTTGAAGCACCTTGAAGAAAACTCAAATGGAGGTGAAGCACTTAGGGAGGTTCGGCCACCTCTTGAAGAAGTGAAATGAGAAGAGAATGGCATGGGTATCTTGGGAGAAAATTTGTCGGCCTAAGAAGGAAGGGGGTCTAGGAATTAAAAAGTTGGGTGCTTTTAATGAGGCGCTATAAGCTAAGTGGCGTTGGGGACTCTTTCAGCAACCAGAGTCAATGTGGGACAGAATTCTATTATCTAAGTACGATGATAGCATCATGCACAATACTCGAATGAGAGGAAGCTCAGATTCTATGTGGTGGGGGGATGTAGAAGGCTTCGGGTGAGGACACCAGTGACTCTTGGTTTATGAATTCATTGTCATGGAGGTTGGGGATGGGTGACCGAATCCGATTCTAGTCTTATACATGGGCAGAGACAGAGCCTCTAGCGAATAGATTCCCAAGGATTTTCTCGAATTCATTGCAAAAGTCAAACATGGTGGCGGACATTGGAGTAGAGGAAGGTGGCAATGGAGATTTCAGTGGAGAAGAGCTTGGTTCACTTGGGAATTAAACAATGTGCAACAGTTCATGAATATAGTGGAGGCAGGGGTACTAAGAGAGGGTGTACAAGACTCAAGGCTTTGGACACTGGATAGCTCAGGATGCTTCTCAGTAAGATCTGGGTATCAGGCTTTGATGGACCGTGGCTCCTCATCACATTTGCCAAATGTTGCTGCGGTAGCTTGGGATATAAAAGTTCCACCCAAAGTTAAATGCTTCATTTGGAGGTTGTTCATGGGTGCTTTGCCTACAAAGGAAAACTTGTTGAGGAGAAATGTGATAGTCTCGAGGGATCAAGCAATTTTCCCCTTCTGCAATGTGGATATCGAGTCGGCATAACACATATTTTTATATTGCAGCGACATTGACCCGATCTGGAAAAAATGGTTGTTGTGGTTGGATACCCTGACTCCTTTATCTAGTTTATTTGAAGGCAACTTCTTTGCTCATCCAAGTATACTATTGTCTAAAAAGAGGGTTGACCAAAATGGCATGTTATATGGACTGCAATATTATGGTGCATCTGGAGAGCTAGGAACAAATGTGTGTTCGAAGGAGAGCACTTCGACGGGAACCGTTTACTGCAGCAAACTGTGTTATACTCATGGTCTTGGCTTACCACTTTTAATAAGTCGTTCAACTATTCATTCAGTCAATCGGAAGCTAATCCTAGACTTTGTATCATTTCCTAAGATCTTTGATGGGGTTTTGAGGAGTCTTTATAGTATATTTTGGACCTCTTAGTTGGAGGCTAATTTGTAATTTAAATTAGACTCAACTTTGTTATGTCCTCCGCATGCAAACATGTATTCGAGATTAGTATCTCTTGTACCATTTCATTATATATAAAATATTTCTTTGCTGTTCAAAACAAAAAACATAGCGATAACATTTTTCCCATAATTTTGACACTTTTAATGATTGACACATATAGCTCCTTAGTATGTCAGAAACCAATCAAGAACTTGTTATTTTAAGCAATTGAAAATTTTGGATAATTCTATACCATACACTAGTACAAAAATGACTTTTAAAATCAGGGTTTTAAAATCGGTCATAAGGTAGCCGATTTTAAAAGTGACGCAGTGGCAATTTTGTAAATAATGGCATTACTTTTAAAATCGACTACGTTATGACCGATTTTAAAAGTCTCTGACGCTACTTTTAAAATCGGCTCTTGAACAACCGATTTTAAAAGTGGGACTTTTAAAATCGGCTTTTCAAGAGCCGATTTTAAAAGTCTAGTTTTATAATCGGCTCTTAAGAGCCGATTTTAAAAGTCTATTTTTAAAATTGGCTATCAAATAGCTGATTTTAAAAGTATCACTTTTAAAATTGGTTATTGAACAACCGATTTTAAAAGTAGCATCAGAGACTTAATCTATACTATCTCCGCTCACATTCTCCCCCTAGCTCCATTCTCTACTCTTTGCTTCAATAGTTCATATATTCTTCTCTTTACTCTCTCGGACTCTCATCTGAAGTGTGCACCTTGTCATTTTCTCCGAAGAATACAACATCAAGGTAACATTCTCTTCTCATGTCTCTTATTTCGTTGTTGTTGGGCGAATTTGAGTCTGGAACAGCCCTAGAATGGCCCGTTCTACAAGCAGAACGGCGTGTACTGCTTGCAATACGGCCCATTCTGCAAGCAGTACAGGTCGTCCTGCTTGTAGAACGGGTCGTTCTAGTGCCGTTCCAGACTAAAGTTTTAGACATTTTTCCAATTCCGGAACAGGCTATTCCAGTTTAGGAACGGCCTGTTCTAAAGTAGAAAAAACACTTTTAACATCGGTCACTGTTGACCAATTTTAAAAGTGGGACTTTTAACATCGGTCACTAATGACCGATTTTAAAAATCTCACTTTTAACATTGGTCAACGACCGATGCTAAAAGTCCCACTTTTTAAAATCGGCTCTTTCAAAATCGGTCAGAAAACCGATTTTAAAAGTAAAAAATGACCGATTTTAAAAATATTTTTTCTACTAGTGATAAAGTGAAAAATTTTAATCAGTAGTTACTAGTTAGTAAGAGCATCACCTTTCACTAAATAAAAAATATAGAAGAGCAGGATTATTATAGGAAACAGGAATATATATATATATAGAAAGAGAGAGAGAAAAGTAATAGTGATGATGAGAGATTAATTACTAGGAAAACAGCATCACGAGCAGCCAAGACAGTGATATCTGCGCAAGAAACGACCCTTCCACACTCCTTTTGGACAACTTCCCTTATATCATCAATGGTTTGCACTGCTTTATGGCTTATTCCACGGTTCAGTGGATTATCCCTTTCACCTGGATTCCCATCCAGCAGCAACGACCCATCACATCCCTATTTACATTTATCAACAAATTAATCCCCCATGCAAGGTAATTAGGGTTTAATTAATTACCCCGATAAAAAAAAATTAGAATAAATTACACAAATACTTCTAATAGGATTGTACACAACCTTTTTGTAATGTTTACCGAAACTTTTCTTACAAGAGGTAAGAGTGTAATATTTTTTAAACAAATTAAGGAGATTAATGTAGTATGGAAGGGTGTCGATCGGTATTATTAATTAAGAAAATTAGTTTGTAGGTGTTGTAGGTGCAATTAATATCATGAAGCCTTTGAAGGCGTACTGTTTAAGTAATTTGCTAAAAAAAAAAAAAAAGATTTTTTTCCCCTTTTCTCCTAGAAATTTTAACGAGATGAATTGAAATTGTAAAGTTTTATTAGTGGGTTTTAACGAGATGGTGGATTCTTTTATATGAATTGAATAGTATCTTCAATCGTGATTTCATGTTAGTTAAATATATATGTCAAAACTCTAACTTATCTTATTTATTTTAACCAGAATATCATTAAAGGTGGATTGTACTAAGTTACCTGAACAAAACAATCATGGAAGAAAATGACGAGTAAGGCTGGAGCTTGCCAATTAGCTCGCGTGAACACCTTCTTGAGATGGTTTCTCACAATGGTTTCAAGATTGGGACAGGTTTTGGAATAGAAAGAATATGATAGTCCATTCACTAATAGGGGCTTGGCTTGTGCCTGAGAGATAAGGGAAAATGAAGTAAATAGAATGGAAGAAATAAAGAGCAAAGAATATAAAGAACGACGAGAACTAGGCGTAGTCATTTTTCTTTGCCTTGAGTGTCATTTGAGTTTACATCTAGAGTAATTATTTATAGAAGTAGGGAGTTATGACTTATGAGATCCACGGCAATGACTTTTACATAATTTATTAATAATCGTAAAAAGATCGAGTTCCAAACATCAAATTTTAGAAAAAGAAAACTTTTTTTTTTCAATAAATATGGTTCTGTTATTAAAATTGAAAAACAATTTAAATGTTATGAATTTTTTATTTTTTTTCAATTGAGAAGTGTATTCATTCTCACCAAATCAGCTTTTATACGAAATGAATAATACTTTCGGCAGTGACTTTATGTCAAACTAAGGATCAAATTTTATCCTTAATTAAGAATTATAATTGTCGGACCACTTAAACTAAACACTTTAATTATGCAAAATTCTCTAAAATATCTTATTTATGAAATAATAAATTATTCAAATTAATTAAAAATTTAAAACATATTAAGATTAAAATAATGAGAAAAAAAGACTGTGTATTATTAGTGTAAACCAGCTTTATACTATCACTCAATTACAAACTTCCATACGTAGTGAATTTGTCGATATTTTAACCTTACAAAATTAGTTTGTAAGGTGAGTCTCATTTATATACTCTATTAAGATCTTATTCTTAGTTGATGTTGGATCTCCAACACACAACCCGACCGGACATTTCAAACATAAAATTTGTAGGACTGAACATTTGATGAGAAGAGAATGGCATGGGTATCTTGGGAGAAAATTTGTCGGCCTAAGAAGGAAGGGGGTCTAGGAATTAAAAAGTTGGGTGCTTTTAATGAGGCGCTATAAGCTAAGTGGCGTTGGGGACTCTTTCAGCAACCAGAGTCAATGTGGGACAGAATTCTATTATCTAAGTACGATGATAGCATCATGCACAATACTCGAATGAGAGGAAGCTCAGATTCTATGTGGTGGGGGGATGTAGAAGGCTTCGGGTGAGGCCAACAGTGAAGATAGTTTACTTATTTTTCTTTTAATGATCAGGAGTTCAAATTCCTTTTTAA